TGTTTATAGTCACACCTCTATACAATCACCAAATTAGGGTGTAACCAACTTGGTGATTATATAGAGGTCTGACTGTACATATCAATTTTTTGCTTTCGTTGTTTTGTTTATTGTTTTGATTTCACGTTACACCTGATCTTATATTCTGATTGGTCATACATAACTAACCGGGTAAAAATTGAAGATCATGTGATTTACACAACATTCGCCAATTTATAAAATTGATTTTAGCAATTTTTTTAAACACTGCATCATGCTGTTACGTATCGTTATACCTATTTCTAAACAGTTATTCCCGTTATTCCCGTTATTTTCGCGATCATCAAGTTAAAAATTGAAGCTATACCTCTTATATGAAATCCAAAAATGAAACTGAAGACGAACTTTTAAACCTTTGGATATCATTCCTTGAATCAATATACGAAAACAAGCGCCTCCCTGATAATTATATAAAAAAAGCAAAAAGCCTTTTAAACGCTAGTAATTAATAAAACATTATAAAATTAAAAAATCCACACGGCAAGTTCATGAAACACCCACGCCATCAACTTCAGTTGTATCACCTCAATTACAAGTATCGAATAATGTTATCGTACAGAGTACTGTATATGGGATAGGTTATATAAAAAGTTGAAGGCAATTCCAAATACAGGTATATAAGATTAAATAATATAATTGTTTTAATATGATACGTAGTAATAATGATGTTTAATATAATTATGAAAAATAGCTCTATTCTAGATTATATCTTAGATCTGAATCAGTTGAATGAAACAAATTTATTAAACGTAGAAGAATTTAATATGATAAAGGGTTTTTTTCAAATATAAACCTATATTTGGATTGTGACATTTTGGAATACATAAATGACGTTTTGATGTTTTCAAAAATAAAAAAGTAAGTAGAGGTGGGCAAATCGCAGGATCTATAGTGGTAAATTTATATCGAACGGACATTTCTAATTTATTAAAACATGCAAGTTAGATTTTCGACGTAACGGAAATTTACAAGGAGACAGAAGAAAAACGTTTAATAAAAAATTAGGGATAAAAGAGCGACAAACCACTATTGGGTCATGGTGAAGGTTTAAAACGCATAAGGGAAATTGTCATGTCTGTGGATGCGGGTATATATACATAATTTTGTTTGATGCCTATATTTAATGACTCATTAATTTTATTTGTAAAACGATTTAAAATATAGACTCGCTGGTCAAGTTGCTTTTTTCCGACGAGTTATATTACCATTCATGGCTCTTTTGACTCGTACAGGAATTACCGAATGTAATTTGGAGAAATACGTTCATGCAATATTTTATTTGTATATTCAAATCTGGTAATTTTTTTTTATTTCATCGGGAATTTTTGTTAGACTTCAATTTTATTTAATTTAACTTTAATATTATTCATTAAATATTTCCTTTATGCATGATGGAATTATCGCAATGTTAGAGACTTTGTTAAAGAAATGATATTGCCGATCAAATTATCAACCAATCTGTATTTGCTTAAAGATGACCCAAGTGCATTCATACCTACTTCGTATGTATATATAATTTTTCTGTAAATTATATAATTTAATATTTTCTAACTGATTAAATAATGGGCCAATTCTTTTTGGTTACTGTTAGACTGTGTAATATATTTATGAAACGAATAAAGGAAGCATCAATTAGCGAATCAATGTGCAATATTGTGGCGAAGATAGAAAAATCCAAAAAATGTGGCAACAATCTGTTGGAAGTATATTTAATGACCAACTTTCCTCTAATATTGACCGACAGAAATATTTTTTCTTAATCCTTGAAAAGGAAATGATTAATTTAAACAAAATGTTGAATATTGGTCAACGCAGCTTTTTGCCTCAAGAAACCCTTACAACTTCATCCACAAACCCTAACTCTGCCACATTTTATCTTAAACTAGCTAAAGAGTTGCTTTGATGCATGATTATGATCCTCCGGGTATCGTACATCAACATTTAATACATCTATATAACCAGTTAATATGAATTTTTAATTTAAGATTTCCTTTATTATAAAGGTGAATTTTCCAAAAATGGGAGACGCCACGATAATATTTTAGTAAAATATCTGAAATTTCAATTATTCCCACTAAAGATGAGGTGTTATGTGTTCGAGATCAAATTTTACCTACAACAAATATGGATGACTCACTGCATTATCTACTAAAAGGTGCTGAACGCCTTCTTGACACACAATTTCGTCTTCTTAGAGAAGATATGCTGTGTCCTATATACCTTGGTATTGTAAAGTAAGTCTGTTTAAAAATAAAACCAAAAAATATATATATTAAATTAAGTTAAAAACTTTGCCTTTGTTATTTACACAGCTTCATTAAATTTTATACGGAATCAGCAAAAAATGATGCAAAGATTAGAAGATTACAAGAACGTGGTGGAAGGCACAAATATGATGGCTTAAATGGCACGGATGGAAGTGATTTACAAATAAAAGTCGATAAAAGGCGCGGCTTTTCTTGCCGAATGGAATTCACACAGAAAATAAACAAGGTCGATTGCAGTACCGGGATAGAAGTAGAAAACTCATAAATGGAATCTTGGTTTAGCCATCCAGAAATAATTCTTCTAATCATAATACCAATTTTCCTTATTCTTTGGAACTGTGTCACTTCGTGATGAAAAATTGTTATCAGAAGATAAGAATGTAGCATTGGTTGATATTAGTTTTATTAATACATCGATTTATATAATTGCTATGAAAGAAATAATGAAAAAAAAATCAAATAATCGGACAACCGGGTGCTTCATGGTCGAATCTACGGGAGTGGCATTAATTGAAGTTTTTAGTTTTTAAATATATACTTTTATTCTGTTCTAATATATTATCTTATATATATTTAACATGTTATGATAGTATTTTGAGTCATATTTACATATATTAAAAACTATACCAGCAAATTTTCCTTCTGAAAAATATTTGGCACCACAAGTAATTGAAAATTCTTCTTCTGATCCGCCTACATACACTCGAGCACCCGGATTCAAATTTGATTTGTCAGTGCTATTGGAAGATAAAATAAACAACTTTCCCTAGACGTCGCTGACACATATTCTCATAAAACTGTTATTCAAAATCTTCAAGAATTAAGTAAACTTGACAAAAGTCAAGGTATATTTTAAAAAAATCTAATATTTGTTTAAAAATTTGATTATTAATATTTGTTAATTTGATTTATTTAGCATAATCACTTGTAAATTCTCTATGCTGAGAAATTTCTTTGATTTAAGGTTAGTTTTCAGATGTATACATCCATGTGTTTTATAATTTATGAAAACTTTATGTATTCATATTAACAATGATAAATTTGATAGGACCTCCAGGGACTGGAAAAACTTTCGTTGGTGTCGAATTAATGAGAGTGTTACTATCTAATAGGATAACTACGATTTATTTCACTAATCATGCATTAGATCAGTTTCTTGAGGTAATAAACCATTATATTTTGTTTATGATATAATAACTAATATGATTGTTATGATATTCAGAATTTATTAAAGGTTGGAGTTCAAAATACTGTACGATTAGGCAGCCGATCAAAGTCCGAAATCGTTAAGGAGAAATCGTTCTCGTTCTAAGCTTCAAGGATGGATGTTAGCTCAAGGATATAGGGAGCTTGAAAGTATTAAAGAAAAAAGCAGAAAAAATACAAACTAGTTTAACTTATAAATGGTTTGATGGGAAGACGTATCTTCTTATCTGCACTTAGATTTCAATGATCACTGGAGAAAATTTCAGAATCCAGATATACCAGATTTTTTATTTGAATCCGCGACTGATGATGATGATGATGAATCAGGGAAGAGTAAGAGAAAACAAAAAAAAAAAAGATCAGTATTTCGCCAATGGATTCATGGAAGTAACGTCGTACGTACCTGTTGTATTTATCACATTGTGTTTAGATCCTAGAAATTTTTAATATCGCTCAACTTCTATTCATTTCTCTGACAAGCCATATAACCTACATCACACAGGGTGATAATTTAACATTTTATTGTTAGTGAATTTTTACGCTGTGTTATGTCGTTAAATGGTCTGTCTGTTGGGAAAATGAACGGTTTTATTTTCTATTATCATTCGTTTATAGTTACAATACTGACTTTTACATAATAATAGGGATTTGGCGTCGGTTACCTCTAAATTCGTAAGCGCCAAAACAACAATACGAATTCTGTCGGAAATAGGCCAGATTTGGTTGTTCATAGCTATACAGATTACGAGCTTTCCACTCTTGAAGTAGCCGGAGGACCTACACACAATGATCGAAAAAAAAAAAAAAAAATGGAAAACGATAGTAAAAAATAAGTAAGCTAATAAAAATGGTCTTAATTACATATTCATGAAGGAGTCTAGTATGTCGTCCAACGCCAAGAAATTTACAAACAAATTTTCGGAGCCTTATCAAGAAAATTTGAAATCAAATTTAAAAGATGACGTGAGTAGAAAATTATGTTCTTATGAAAAATTTATTTGTGGTAGAAAAATGTAATCGAAATAAGGATCTAACCGGAAAATTGACAATTATTTCGGTGCCTAACATTTAAGATCTATGTTAATATTGTATTTGCATTGGCTAACTTTTGGTATAGGATCTTGTAGATTCCAACTTGAAAATTCTGCAAAAAAATTCTGAAGAAATTAATACCTCTCCCAGATCCTATATAGGGTGTGATTATATAGAGGTCTGACTGTATCTTGTTCCTTCAAAAAACATGCCATTTTTATATTAATTATTTCGTTTTAAATACCAAAAACCTAATGTAATAGCTTCATATTAAGTACTACTATTGTTAATGTCGTCTCTAATCAAATTTGGTAGAACATTCGAGATCGTACCCGTGGTGAAAATATTTACTCTAACCATATATTGGTTACGGAAAGAACTATAGAAACCTCAAGTAAGAACGTTAAATTATAGCAATAATGATTGTAATTCATTTTAATGATGATGCTTTTAAGAAGAATCATATAATCCTTTATTGAGTGTTTATTCATCCAGGACCTAAAGGCTATTAGGCGTTCATCTATCTATTAAATCAACGAACGTACATAATCATCATTGAGGGCCTAAGGACTTTTAGATGTTTTTTCCTATTAACTCAAGGAACATTAAATAATCGATCGCCGAGGGTCTATTGACTTTTAGATGTTTTTCCTATTAACTCGAAGAACATTATGTAATTTATCCATTAACCATAAAACATTACACAATTGTTCACTGAGGGTCTCTAGGCTTTTAGATGTTTTTCCTATTAACTCAAAGATCATTATTTAATCGTTCACCGAGGGACCAAAGGCTATTAGATGTTTTTATGTAATCGTTCGTTGAGGGCTTGTAAGCTATTAGATGTTTCGCTTATTTACTCAGAAAATATTATTTAATCGTTCAAAGAGGGTTTATCGACTTTTAGATGTTATTCCTATTAACTCGAAGAATATTATATAATCGTTCACTGAGAGTCTAAAGGCTATTAAATGTTTTTTTATAGTGTTTTTCTACAACACTATATAATCGTCATTGAGGGTCTAAAGGCTAACTCAAAGTGCATTATATAATCATTCACTGAGGGTCTATAAGCTATTAAGTTTTGCTTATTAACTCAATGAACATTAAGTAATTGTTTTATCGAGGTCCATTGGATGATTTATTAATTACTCAATAAAGGTTTATTTATCATACCAAATATGTTATCTGAAATAGTTTAAAATAAGATAATAATCAAACGGTCAAAAAGAATAACAATTAAACTTTTTACTAAATTTAACGTCAAAAATTATTTTAAACTATATATAGAAACTCTAAACAGCTATTCCCGTTATTTTCGTGATCATGAAGTTAAAAATTGGAGCTATACCTCTTATATGAAATCCAAAAATGAAACTGAAGACGAATCTTTAAACCTTTGAATATCATTCCTTGAATCAATATACGAAAACAAGCGCCTCCCTGATAATTATAGAAAAAAAGCAAAAAGCCTTTTAAACGCTAGTATATGAATAAAACATTATAAAATTAAAAAATCCACACGGCAATTTCATGAAACACCCACGCCATCGACTTCAGTTATAGTATCACCTCAATTACAAGTGTCGAATAATGTTCTCGTACAGAGTATATTGGATAGGTTATACAAAAAGTTGAAGGACAATTCCAAATACAGGTATATAAGATTAAATAATGTAATTGTTTTAATATGATAGTAATAACGATGTTTGATCTAATTATGAAAAATAGCTCTATTCTAGAACATATCTTCGATCTGGGTTAGTTGTATGAAACAAATTTATTAAGCGTGGAAGGATTTAATATGCTAAAGGATTTTTTCAATTATAAACCTATATTTGGATCGTGACATTTTAGAATGCATAAATAACGTTTTTGATGTTTTCAAAAATAGAGGTAGGCAAATCGCACCTCTAGCACAGGATCTATAGTGGTTTAAATTTTGAAATTTATATCGAATTGACATTTCTAATTTATTAAAATATGCAAATTAAAATATATTATTTCTTCTAATAATATTATAAACATTTAAATCTAGATTTTCGACGTAGGGAAATTTACAAGATAGAAGAAAAACGTTTTAGTAAAAAATTAGAGATAACAACCTTAAAAGAGCGACAAACCACCTACATCTTTGAAAGCATACAACCATTGTGATTTTATTATTATTATTATTATTATTTAGAACTATATACAGTAACATATTTAAAAGTTTTAGTCTCAGGAAATTTCGACAAGGAGATTTCTTTACGAGGAAAATGCCAGAGTTAAAGTTCTTTGCCAAAATTTAATGTCAAGTAATGGACATTTTAACATGCATAGACGGGACGCATACTAATCGGTACGTCGTACGTACGTGTGTACTTCTATTATCATTCGTTTATAGTTACAATACTGTCTTTCATATAATAATAGGGATTTGGCATCGGTTGCCTCTAAATTTCGTAAGTGCCAAAACAATAATACGAGTTTTTGCAAAAATGAACCAAATTTGGTATTTCAGAACTATAAAGATTACGAGCTTTTCGCTCTTGAAGTAGCCGGAGGACCTACACACAATGATCAAAAAAAAAAATGGAAGACGATAGTACAAAAATAAGTAAACAAATGCAAAATGGTTTTAATTACATATTCATGAAGGAGGCTAGTATGGGCGTCTAATGCCAAAAAATTTACAAATTTATGGAGTCTCATCAAGGAGATGACGCGAGTTGGAAATTATGTTTTTATAAAAAATTT